ATATATATATATATATATGTATAAATATATATATATATATATATATAGTGCCTTTTATATAGGTGAGTTATTTTGATGGAATGGTCAGTGTTCGATATTTAACTTTATGGCTAATATCAACCGATACATGTCGATAATATCGTGCATCCCTACAAATTACCAACCAAATATTGAGCTTTGACTTTTAAAGCCTTGTCTATACTTTATGTATTTTTGAAAATCTTTTTCACCTTATCCCCTTGTTTTAGATTAATGATTTACACGGTTAGCTCTATTAGCTTCATAAACACTACGTGAGTTTTCATTTAAATGCTTTATTTTAATGTAAAATGCTTTATACATTTGATAGCATTGCATTCAAAGCTTGCAAAAGTTCATTTCAAGTGCAGCCTTTATTGCAGAAAACACCAGATTAGATCAGACTTTGAAGAGAAGCTATAAATTCTATAACGGACAGTTTGATGCAGCTTATCTGTAAGAGCAAGATAGCGGGTCATAAATGCACCTCTGGCCTTCCTTTACCATAAGAAGAAGTATAACAACCTGCATGAATGAAACTGCTTTCACCAACCAGTAAGCACAGAATGTAAATACTTTGTTGTTTCCTGTTTGAGCAGAGCTGCTGTCGATGTTTAATCCAGAAGTGATAATTCAGCATGAGGATCAGACACCAGTGCAGCGCAGGTAACACGTTTACTCTGCATATGTGAACATTTCATTCCACTTCATCCAATTCAGTTCATTTATACAGCATCAATTAACGACAAAAGTCGTCTCAGGTCTTTGTAGAAATAAATATTCAAATCATAAATCTAACTTGGACACAGATTTAAATGCTGCCCGATCAGTATTCAGTAGATTATGAAACCTTGCTATGTAAACACAATCTGTTTGAGGTCAGCAGATTATTGTAAACCTTTACTATGGCTCAATCGCTAATCCCAAGTGGCAACTTTAGCTACAGTGGAAAGGAACTCCCTTTTAATAGAAAGAAATCTCAACCAAAAACCAGAAGCAGGCTCAGGGTGAGCAGCATCCGCCTCGACTGGCCGGGGTCTAAAGGAGCAGGAAAGGAGAAACACAAAGTGTCCTCAAGTAAAGAAAAACTAAAACACTGCGAGTAAAGAGACTAAAGACAGCTGCAGAGTGAAGAAATGAGGCCAGTTTGTCCTCCAGCAGTTTAAGCCTATAGCAGCACAACTAAAGGATAGCTCAGGAAACCCAAGCCAACTGTAACTATAGGATTTATCAAAAAGGAAATACTTAAAACTGGACAATGTGTCAGCCTCACGGACAGAAACTGGAAGTTGGTTCCACAAGAGAGGAGCCTGATAACTGAAAGATCGTCCTCCCATTCTGCTTTTGGAAACTCTAGGAACCACAAGTAAACCTGCAGTCTGACAGCAAAGTGCTTTGTTAGAAAAATATAGACCAATAAGATCTGCAATATAAGATGGAACTAGGTTGTTGAGAGCTTTGTAGGTTAGAAGTAAGATTTTGAATTCTATTCTGGATTTGACAGGGAGCCAATGGAGAGAAGCTAAAACTGGAGAGATATGATCTCTCTATCAACTCTCATTAAAACTCTGGCAGCAACATTTTGATTAACTAAAGACATCTTAAATGTTTCTTTGGACAACAAGATAATAAAGGATTACAATAATCCAGTCTAAAAGTGATAAATGCTGCTTTCTGCATTGCTTTGAAACATGAAGTTTCTGATAAGTATCATATTGTGCTGGTGGAATACAGCTGTTCTGCTAACATTTTTAATTTTGGGGGTTAAATAACATTTCCAGGTAAAAACTGCACCAAGATTCTTCACATTAATGGAAGCCAAGTTATTCAGAAGAGTGAAAGGTTGTTTCTTAGGGGTTCATGTTCAAAAACCATGATGACTATCTGAGATTAAAGGTAGAAAATTAGAAGTCAGCGAGGTTTTTATGTCTCTAAGACAAGTTTATAATCTAAGGTTTTTTTGCTGCATCATTTCTCACATGTGGGAATAATGTCTTGCAGGAGCCTGATACAGGAAGCTGAGGCACTGTCTCTTTCTCATCAGGTATAATCTCATGATCTCTTTTTTAGACTTTAAAACATTTTATTTCACAGAGACTTGTTTATCTGGGTTTAATTTATGTAACTTATTTAAGTTGGGTTAGTACACACATTTTCCCTCTGACTTCACGTCCTTACAGAAAAACAAGTGGAAGATCGTGCTGCTGTTTGTCCCAGCAGATCTAATGTGTGCCTGTTCACCACATGTAAGTGTCCTTACTTCATGTCTAAAATAAAAACAGTTACTATAATGTGTTTAGTTTGGTTTAATTTAGTTTAAAATACAGATCAAAGATATTAAGAAAAAATAATTATAACAGTGCAGGGATAGGCAGAAGCCTCCACACAATACATATAAGTAATACAATACAATGTGTGTTTTAATGATTACCGTATTTTCCGGCGTATAAGTCGCATCAGTCCAAAAAGCATCATGAAGAGGAAAAAAAACATATAAGTCGCTTCGACGTATAAGTCTCATTTATTATGCATTTACTTAATGGTCAAAACAGCTTCATTTCACCTGTGCGGCGCAGCACCATCCATCCATCCATCCATCCATCCATCCATCCATCGCGACCGAAGCCGCTAGCTCTCCAGCGTTCCTCCACCTGCACCAGCTGAGTAAAATGAGCGTGCACGGGAGGACTGGCTGTTGCAGTTCTTAGACATTTAAAGCATCAGTCAATAATTGCGATATGAATATGGGGAAAAAAAACCTGCATATAAGTCGCTTCAGCGTATAAGTCACAAGACTGAAAATCTATGCAAAAAAATGCAACTTATATGCCAGAAAATACGGTAAATGTTCGGTTCAGAAATGATGGTGCTGTTTTTTGTATGAAAGACTGCTGCAGATGTTAAAGCTGCAGTGCAGGAAGTGGATGCAGCTCTGCAGATTTTGCAGAATCAGGTATAAAATGTACTGTCAAGTGTATTTTTGCCACGAGCACGCTTAACAGGAAATAATAATCTGGGCATTTCTCTACAGTTGCATCACACTTTAGTTCACGTGTTGGTCTGGAGTGGAGATCATCAGGAAGAAACGTGAGTTTTGTAAATACACTATTTGATGCTTCTTGTTTACTTCATTTCTCGTTTGTAAAGGTCCATTAAAAGTACATAATTGTTTTTTTTCCCAACAGATGTAAATGTTTAAATGATAAAGTCATAAGCCAAGGCCTACACGAAGCAGCTCTGCTGAAAGCACTGCAGGTAAAACCCTTACAGCATTTAAATGATTTACAGCTTGCAGAGATTTTACTTGTGATCATTCTGCGGTTCAGGACTCTTTGAGCCATCTTTTGGAAACGTCTTCGTGGTACCACAAAGATGTCGACTTCGCTGCTGTGCTGCAGTCTTCTCCACTCATCTTAGAGTCAGAGTCTGTAAGTAAAGAGAAATACAACCTTGAAGGCCAGTTCCTGTCGACAACATTATCAACGAGGAGTTATAAACTCTGCCTCTCCAGTGATAACTCAAGAACGATGTGAGCTAATGTGTAACTTCTATCTGTGGCGTTTTTCTTTAAAGGAGAGCTCCTCGTCTGAACTTAACCAGCTGGCTGTTCAGCTATGGACAAATCTGGTAAGTTGTTAGAAACAAAGAGCCCAAACGACAGATAACAGATTTACTGAGGGTTGTGTGACAGCAGCGTGACGCAGATCACGAGGGACATCGCTGACACTCAAAATCAAGGACGATATCGAACAGTAATTACTGTTTGTCTCGCAGATTAGATAAGAGATGTACAGATTAACCTTGCTGGATTAAAGTCAAGGATATTTTCTCATAAACTCTGCATTTGGGTGAACCAGGGCCGGCCCAAGCCTCCATGGGGCGAAATTTAGTTTGGGGCCTCTATTTCTGCTAATAATGTGATTTACTGCACTCAACAGATGATCAGATCATTCACCACCTAACATAAACTCACTGCAACTCTGACAGCCTTGTTTACATGATCATATAAGTATATTTCATCTAGTACAGGGGTGTCAAACTCATTTTCATTTGGGGCCACATCAAACTCATGAATGTCCTCAAAAGGCCGGACATGGTAGAATGTATTGATAAAACTATTAACACTGGTAAATATAACTTTCTATGCATTCAATTACTACTTCTAAAAATGCAATATTTTATGTTTGAGTTATTTGGTGTTATAAACATAAAAACTGATTTGATTTGACTGATCAGAATAAGCTTTATTATCATTGCACCGAGATACAACAAGAACATGTACATGCAGGCGTCCGGAAGATGGACGGAGTGCACGAAGCTGCTGCTGCTCTGAGCGCGGCCTCTCTTATCCTTTATCAGAATAATAATCCTAGATGGGAAAAGGGGAGAAACATGAGGGTAGATAGTGGTATTACAAAAAAAGATCTTTCACATCAGGACATGATTTGAGACATTTAGAAACTCTACCAGCAACACAATTACAACATGATCACATGCATTTGACATCGAGGTGTTGAGATTTGTCTGAGCGCTTTTCAGATCAGCCACAGTTTCTGAAGATGTTGTTTCAGCGGACAGTTCTGATAAGGCTGCACAGAAAGTTCTCGGGGGGCGATAGATTAAGCTTTTGTCCTTGGTTACCCATGACCCAGGAGAAATATGATAATCGGCCCATTCCGAGGCCATCGGGAGTCAGATTCAGATTCAGATTCAGATCAGCTTGATTCTTGTTTTTCTTCAGGCAGACAGATTTTTTTCTTCAGCCTTGAGTCCATCTGGACGTTCTGGTTCCGAAAATGCCTAATTGTGGGATTCCATTCCACTGATCCATGCGATGAGTCTCCTTCAAGGTCGAACCCGCCACGCTGACGAGTCCCAGAAACAGCAGGTGGCCTGCGATTCTCATAAATCGCCTCCACCTCACGTTTAGCTTGAAAACCAGTTGATTTAGAGTTCCTACAGCACGGACCAAACCTTCACACTGACTCTGAAGCTTTGCCATGCCGAAACTGCTGCCGATGTCTTCTTCAAAAGTCGATAAAACAGAGCCCTGCCAATGCCAAAAAGCAGAGACCCTGCTATCATAAATCCAAATATGTAAACTAGGGGTGCACCAATCACAGATTTCTGGCCGATCACCAATTTCTAAAATGTCGGACCTGCCGATTCTGATTTTGGCAGATACCGATGTTGTTTTATAAGAGACACTGTCAGGTGTTATTAGGTCACAATGCACCTTCAATTTACCAATATTATTTTATTGAAAAACATACCCTTGAACAATATCCTAGAAACAATATAAACTTGTTTTAACTGGCCATGAGGCAGTGCTCTGAAATATAAATGAAGTTTAGACAATTGTTAAAACTAAAAAATCGGTAAAATCGGTTTCTCATGCAGGTATCGACCAATTTCCGATTTCCCAAAATTAAGGAAATCAGGGCCCCTAATGTAAATGTCTTCAACATCCTCCTGAGACAGGACTGAGAGGCACATCAGCTGCCACACTCCCCCACGGGTCCATGACGTACCCCACAGCGTGTGTCTCAGCTGGACACGCAGGTTCTCCAGGACGCTTTGTTGAAGAAATCTTATCAATAGAGTTGAACGTCCAGGATACCAGATCCATAATCTTATTAATTTACGTTTGGGAGATGTGAACCAGGCACTTCAGACACACAGAGAGCAGAGCAGGAGGAAAGAAAAACAGGAGAGGAAAGACAGAAGCAGCCACCTCAATCAGAGCCAGAGAGGATAAATGTCATCTTGAAGTTCTGCTTCTATGATCCACTAGGCTGGGTGTAGAGACACACAGAAGTGGTTATGGTGGGCTGGATTTGGCCCACGGGCCTTGAGTTTGACACGTTATCTAGTGGTACTAAAAGTAACAAAAGGGGGAAACACACCAGTATGCAACGTATTTTACAGCAAAAGTGTCATCTGGTTTATTATCTTTGGTTCCAAAGAACAGCCACAGTAATGTTCAAAATAATTTGTAGCGCAAGATCATCAACAAACAACAGATAAAATAACATAAAATGTGCAAAACCAGACAAATTTAGTTTTTAAAAAATTAAGGAGATACTTAAATAATGTAAATGAACAATTACTTGAAACCATGTAAGATGTGAAAAAAAGAAATTTAAAGTTGAATAATTAGTTCTTAAAACTATGTAAATGTATGCAACAATTTACAAAAGCTGAACTTATATTATTTAAACAGAATCATATAGAAATCATTACTAAAAAAAAAAAAAGTATCCACTTAGAGGGGTCCCCTAGTGGCCCCGGGGCCCCAGGCAGCTGCTTAGTTTGCTCAAGCCTTGGGCCGGCCCTGGTTGTAAAGTCTGGTAAAAAATAAGAAATCTTAATGTATGAAACATGGCTTCTTTCAGCTCCAACCAGCGGCAGGTCAAGCTGAGGTCACAGACAGCGGTGATGTCACCATGCCTTGTCCAACTCAGGTGATTCATGCAGACACTGTCAAAATAAAAGTCCTCTTCGAACACTGTCAAAATAAAAGTCCTCTCCAGTGCGGTTGAATGATCGGCTGCTTTTTATTTGCAGGAGTTTCCTTTTCTGCGAACGCAGATAAACTCCCCGGGTGAAAGAGCACAGGAGGTTTACAGACAAGCTTCTGCACCAGCAGACCTTGTAAGAGTTTCATTCACAACCAGATTATGGATTAACAGTTTCAGATTACGGTTTTTAGAATTTACTGTGTGCTTTTAGGGAATGGGTACTGAGGTGCCTTGCACAGATCACAGTCCATCTCCAAGCACGCCCACATCAGGTGTTGAAATATTTATCATCTCCATTAATAGGTTCAAGGAAAAAGTTTATTTCATGCTAATCCAATAAAATTATTATTTTTCTTCTGTGTAGTTCATGAGCTCAGACCTGGAGACATAAAGGTGGTGGCAGCTGTGGGGGATTCTCTGACGGTGAGTGTTTTTATGTCCTCTACCTGTTTTTTTGGTTATGATCATCATTAATAAAAAAAACTATATATTTTGATCAACATCGATACAGAAGACAAGGGATCCAGTGAAAGTAAATCACAGGATGACAGATAAATTAGATTATTTACGCATGGTGTCCTAATGCTTCGTAACAATCTGCTGTTTATAGAGTTTATAGAGGTTGCAGTGATAACTTATCTGGCTCCAGTCGTCACTCATCGGGTGTTTTTGCAGGCAGCCAATGGCGTGGGCGCTAAGAATGACAACCTCCTGTTAGTGCTAAATGAATACAGAGGGCTGTCATGGAGGTAAGCTGGTTCAGTGTGACGGTGGGGGAACGTTTTGCTCAACTTTTAACTTCATTTAAAACAAACTGAAACTTGTTTCTCCCATTTTTAGCGTTGGAGGTGATGAAAATATCACCACTGTGACAACTCTGCCAAGTATGTTCCTCTTCCTGCCTCTTCAGCTCGTTTTTATTAGAGATCAAGAACATTTAAAAGCTTTAAACACCAGGCGCCCATACGCTGATCATTGGTAGCACTAATAACATCTCTATACTTACTGTGATGCAAACAGGGGCAATTCTAGGACCTGACCTTCAGGGGTGCTTAGCCCCCAGTACTTGAACAACACACCCCATGGTGTGGTTTGTGAGACGTGCACAAGCTTACAGTCTCCCATCCAAGCACTGATCAGGCCCCACCCTGCTCAGCTTCTGACATCCGGTGTGTTCAGGGTAGTTGTTAAACGACTACATATTTTTAAAAGTCGACTTTAACATGATAAGAGTTGAGTCGACTTCGACTAGTCGATGATGCCATAGGAACTCAAGACACTATATCATATTTGCAATATATATATATATATATATATATATATATATATACAACAACAAAAAAGGAACAGCAAAACATCAGGCGTATATTTATGCTCCTACCATTTATCATACTGCAAATAAGTCAAAGCAAAAGCAAAACTATTATCAAGCTGCAAAAATGCTGCTGTTTTTAGTTTTATTTTACATTTGTATTTAATCCACCGTGTGGACTGGGTGGAATAGGGTTAGGAACAGCAGGGGAGGGGGCGGGGGGGGGGGGGCGACTAGTCATCGTGAAATATAAAAACTTGCAAGATGAGCAAGATAGTCGACTAGTCGGTTCGTCTGTTCAACCCCTAGTTGAGGGTGGTGTGGCGTAAACAAGGAGCTCAGTCACAAATAGGACTTCTAAAGGATCAAAGACTGAACTTGTGCAAGCAGAAGTTGCAACATATATCTACACAAAACACACAAAACAAAGCACAACTTGCTTTAAGCATTACACTTTATTTTAACCATTAACCTCTGACTGCAAAGCGTTTATAATGCAAAACCCCAACAATGTTGTCAGAGGAAAAAGGGGGTGGAGCTTCTGCATGTAAGGGGCAGGTAATGGGACAAATTGAGGTCACCGATTGGTCAGTTGCTGACGAGCCTACTGGAATGATTGACAGGTGGCGTTAAGGATGTGACTCATGCAAAAAACAAACAAACATGGATTTTGCTGGCTCATTTAACAGTGTCATCATTTATTCCATATTTATTTAAAATGTATTCAATATTTTGGTGAATTTAATATTTGAGAGCTGAGCTTCCTTACAATATCCTAATGATGGTTTCTCAATTTTTCAAGGGTGCTGACTTCAAATTTAATGGAGCTTGAGCACCCCCGAAAGAGGCTAAAATCATCACTGGATGTAATTCAACAATTTGAATGTAAATATAAGCTCGTATTTCATAAAAAAAAAAAAAACAGAAAATAAAACACTCAAACTATAGAAATAACGGTTTTAAGTAGATTATTTTTTATTTGTTTGTGTCATATATGTACTTCTTCTGAAATTGAGCCTTTTATGTGTTTTACAATGCAACACAACTTTATTTAAAAACTCCACCGATGGCCAAAGTGCTGTACACTGAAATCATGAAATCAATTAAAACAGTAAAAGTAATGAACCGTTCAATCATAAAAACAACAAATATTAAAACAATACGAGCCAACGTGTCAAGCTGAGTTAAAAGCCAAAGAGAGAAAAAATGTTTTAATAGATTTACAAACAGGAAGTGAGTCGGCCTGTCTGATGTGTTTTAAAAGTTTTCATAAAGGAGACAAAGTTATACTTGATAATATTAATAATAATATTATTTGAAGAATTAAGGTTCAGAGCTGGTTTATATATGTTTTTATTCTCTGAATTTTGAATACTTTTGTATCAGTGATGATGAAAACACTTGGAAACCTTCAGATTGTTTCAGCTGTTGAAGTTGCACATGGACTTCCCTGTCTTTGCTCCTGTCAGGCCTTTTAGTCCCTTTAATGTTTGCTAAAGTAAAATATAAAAAGATTTTATGTACAAATTATAAATTGTAGAACTCTACAAGTACAGTTCACACAGTATCAGCACATTAAAAATGATTTCTCTTCTGTTTGTATAAAAACAGAGCTTTGCCTCTAGAATAGAAAGCATGACTTGTTTGATAAAAACGAACGTGTTCGTGTTTTTTCCCTCGTGCTGTTCTCAGACATCCTGAAGGAGTTTAACCCTTCACTGACTGGATTCTCTGAGGGAACATGTTCCCAGGACGCTCCAGGAGCCTTTCTGAACCAGGCTGTGCCAGGAGCGAGGAGCGGGTCAGTCACTTCACACACACACACACACACGCGCGCGCGCGCGCACACGTACTGCATGACTTATTCCACATGAATACATTCATCTACTCATTCATCCATCATCCGTCCATCATCCATCCATCTATTCATCCATCCATCTGTTCATCCATCCATTTATTCATCCATCTGTTCATCCATCCATTTATTCATCCATCTGTTCATCCATCCACGTCCATCCATCCATCTATTCATCCATCTATTCATCCATCCATCTGTTCATCCATCCATCTATTCATCCATCCATCTATCTATTCATCCATCCATCTATTCATCCATCAATCTATTCATCCATCCATCTATTCATACATCCATCTATCTATTCATCCATCCATCTATTCATCCATCCATCTATTCATCCATCCATCATCCATCAATCCATTCATCCATCCATCTATTCATCCATCATCCATCCATCTATTCATCCATCCATCTATTCATCCATCAATCGATTCATCCATCCATCTATTCATCCATCCATCTATTCATCCATACATCCATCATCCATCCATCTATTCATCCATCCATCCATCTATTCATCCATTCATCTATTCATCCATCTATTCATCCATCCATCCATTATCTGCTTCTTGTTCTGGTGTTGGAGACTCAGGGAAGCTGGAAATCTTTTACCACAGGTGTTTGCCTACAAGCTCCTCCCCTCACTCTGGTTCCAGATTTGGGCCCCAGTAACCCATGTCAACAAGAGATATCACGCTCCCTGTCTTTTTCTGGACTATATATGTTGTGAACTGTTTTTTATTCAGCCTGTCATCTAGAACCAGTCTGCCTTGGGAGAACCTACATCATAGCTCCCAGGATCATTTAGGTGTACACTGGCCTCCATCACAATAAGGTGGTGCTTGAGGACAACATTTCAACGCTTGATAATAATTTAAAATGTTGTTCTTATTTACAGTGATATGGTACGACAGGTGCGCACTCTAGTAGACAAAATGAAGAATGACTTGGTAGGCAGAGGCGTTCTACAGAAACATTTATTAATAGTCTCTAGTAGACTTTATCTCAGTAATCTGACCCTTTCCCTGTTGTTCTCTTTAGCGCATTGATTTCCACAACGACTGGAAAGTGATCACCATGTTCATCGGCGGCAATGACATTTGTGACTTCTGCACAGACAGTGTGAGCACACTTTGCCCCAAACACTTGAAATGTTAATTTATATTTTGTGATTTTCTTGTGATATCTGAAGCGTATTTGCACATTTAGTTAAATCTAGAGCTATTTACGTTTGAGCCGATTAGTAATTTATTTTTTCCTTGAAAACCACCACTAAATGAAACTAATTGAGCGAAAAAACATTTTTCGCTCTTTCAGATCTTCTTTTCACCCGACAATGTGGTCAGTCGAATCCGCCAAGCTTTGGACCTACTCCACAGGGAAGTATGTTGTCGTCTTTTTGCACCAAAGTCACTGTAGTAATTACAGAAAGGCTGTAAAACGGTTGTTTTCTTCCAGGTGCCTCGTGCAATGGTGAATTTGGTAGAGATGTTAAATATTGCACCACTGCGTGATTTGCACATGGATAAATCAATGGGTTGTCCCACCTGGTTTGTAAGGTCAGTCACTTCTTCACTAGGTGGCTTGACCATTAAAATCACACCTAACTGTTTACCAGGTTTGATTTTTGTGTTTCAGGCTAGTTTGCCCCTGCGTGCTGAAGCCCATTGAAGGAACATTTGAACTGGAGAGGATGAATGACTTCAACAAAGCTTATCAGGTGCAAATAAATGAAAAGGTTTCATGTTTTCAGACAGTTTTTAATTGACATTTCATATATAACCATCCATCCATTGTCTTTATCCGCTTCTTCCTTGTTCGGGTTGCAGGGGGGGGGGGGGGGTTCACTTGTGCCCATATCCAGCCATCACTGTGTGAGAGGTGGGGGACACCCTGGACAGGTCTCCTGTCCATCACAGGGACACATAGAGACAAACGAGACAAACAATTCACTCTCAAATGCATGTTTTTGGTTTGTGGGAGGAACAAGGAGTACCAGGAGAAAACTGACACATGCACGGAGAGAACATGCACACTCCACCCAGAAAAGTCTCTAGATGGGATATGATCCGGCAACCTTCTCTCTGAAAGGCAACAACTCTACCAACTGTGACACTTTTTACCCACTTTTTAAATGTTTTCATTAGGGAAAATATGCCTCTTTTGATAGTCCCCCATGCAAACCATCTGGTGAACATTTAATAATTTCTGAATCAAAAATTATTATGGATTTGGTCAGCTGGTCCCTCAACACAATTGATCAAATGTTTTTTGACCAGACAAGTGTGCTGGAGAGCCCTCATGCTCTGAACAAACCTATGCAGCTGGGTATGTCAATGATTGCCACCGAGTGTACCAGCAGAACTGAAGACAGACAGAAAACAGAGTCTGGCGGCCCAAACAATTGTTGTTTATCTGAATTTGGCCTCACTGCTGGCCTTGGACAGGCCAACTTATCTCAAATTGCTCCTGGAGGACATGTAAACTAGAAGCTTCTGCCCCCCTCCCCTCCTGAGGACATCTGTGGCCTTATCAGAACCATGATGCTGATAGACACTGTATCATCTTATCTGAACTTTGGAACTTTCTAGAGTGTTCACGGATAACTCACTGGCTTTGTCGACCTCTATGCATAAATGTGAAGCCATTGTATGTTGCTGTTTATGTGGCGAGGTCTTTTTTTTGTTGCATCTTTTACACTGTGCCCTGGCCAGGACATGGTGTGAGACATAGATTTTTTGGCTTCCTCCATCCTCATGTTGTCTTTTTCTCATCTGCCTGTATGTTGTATGTAACAGATCTCTCTTGTAAATGAGTCTTCGAGGCTTAATTGGAACTAACCTGTATAAATAAAGGTCTAATAATAATAATAATAATAATTTAGGAAGTTATCGAAGCACAACTTTATACATCATATATCAAACTGTTGTGTTTTTCTTTCAGTTGGCCATGAGAGAGCTAATTGACTCAGGGCGGTATGACACACACAACAACTTCACTGTGGTGCTGCAGCCTCTCTTCAGAGAGATTATCCTTCCCAAGTTAGAGGTAAGAACAATCAGATTTGGATCAGTCTCTTTCTGGTTTGATTCTTATAGACCCATCAAAAAGAGGACATTTCATGATACAGTCTTCATCCATAAACTTTTTTTGTCCAGGCCATAACCTTTGATCCACTCAAGACAAATCTTGAAACTCATGTGTACTACCACAACACAGTTTCTTGCATAATATCTTCGTTCAAATCTCGGACGAGCCCCCATGTACAGACCTCACTTTGAACTCCATTCAACTATCTTAGGATGAAAACCCAAAGCACTCCCTGCCTGGTATCTTCCAAGATATCACAATTATTGTTCTCTAATTTAAGAATGCAAAAGAAAAACTATTTCTGAAATTGGTCTGTAATAGGTCTTAGTCATACCATGCAGAGCAACCTTGACCTCAACCTTCCTTACGAGTCCATCTTGGCTGGGAGCAGGCTTGACAACAACACCCATTGGCCATTCGTTCCTCCTGGCTTGTGTTTCTTTAAAAAGAACCACATCTTCTTCTTTAATATCAAGTTGTTTATGTTGCCATTTTTGCCGAGTCTGTAGAGTACAAAGGTGCTCCTTTCGCCATCTATTCCAGAAATCAAACTGGTCCAGATGACATGATTTAACCTTTTTTGTCTTCATCACGTCAGCGTCAAGATCAAGGTCACAAATCAACGTCTTTGCTATAGACTGCTGTATAATAGTTTGATGGGAACATAACGTGCCATTCACAGTACTCTTGTTCAGCTGTTTGTTCTTGTTTGCTTATGATGTTTTTCTTAAACCCTTTTTTTTAAGGATGGCCGCCCTGATCGCTCTTACTTTTCACCAGACTGTTTTCACCTCAGCCAGAAAGCTCACACACATATGGCTCGTTCACTTTGGAACAACATGGTAAAGTTTGCTCCCTTATTGGACATTTCTCTCGTGATTTCATCAATATTAAATTACTGACTCTCGCCGTCTCTTAGCTGGAGCCAGTGGGCAACAAGACCTTCAAAGAAAACTTCACAGCTGTAACAGAGTTGAAATGTCCATCCAAGGTACTCATTTATATTAAACACATAAGATTATGTGCTGTTTTTAAACACTTGCATGTGATGAAATTGAGCTTGATTATGTTTGTACTACAGGAATACCCATTCTTACGAACCGCTCATAATAGCAACTACACTTTTCCAGGCCCTCCGACAACTTCCCCTCCAGTTAATGTACATTATATTTTTTTATTATAACAGAGCATGCATTTATTATTTAGAGCTCACTTGTTATTACTGAAAATATCTAAAATATATCTTTGTTATTCTGTAGAACTGGGGTAGTGACTTCTCCTGTGTTCATATAGCTCCATCAAACTCAGTACCAACTTCAGGTAAGCATACAGCTAATCCAGTTTTCCCAATAACTTGGTGAAAAAGGCTTGTGTAGCATACAAAATATATTCACGTTGGACTTTTGTTAGTTCACAGATTACGTCCAGCAGATATCAAGGTGGTGGCTGCTTTAGGAGACTCCATAACGGTAGGTTTCTGTGTCATTCCAGAGGATGACAGATGGTTTGGTTGTGTGGAAAAATAAATCCTACAAATAGCCTGAAAATAGAAAACTTGGCATATGCTATTTGTTTTAAGTATTTATAAAGTTTTGTGGGTTTGACTCGTTCTATAAATGTGAGTTAGGTCTCAGTAAGTCTACAAAAACAACAGCTGAGAGATCAGTTTTGTTGTAGTACACCAGAGAACAAAACAGAAGAACGTATGCCTGAACGTGTGTATGGTTTCTTGCATGTAGGCTGGCTTTGGTGCAAAGGCAAAGAATCTTCTGCAGCTAAAAACAGAATACAGAGGCGTGTCATGGAGGTGAAACACACTGCACTCACCTCACAATCATACTCTTGTTGCATCTTCATGCATTTCTTGCCTGTTTTCATTAACCAAGCATTGGAGGGGATCGTGCTCTGGAGACTGTCACCACTCTTCCAAGTAAGCAGCTCGCTGTAATGCTCCTTACCACCACTAGATGGCAGCCTCAGTCTGAACAAAACTGGTGTCTTATGCAGTAAAAGTCTCTTTTTGTAATTTTTACATCAGATATCCTCAAGAAGTTCAACCCCAACATCAAAGGGATGTCCAAGGGGACTGGAAAATTACAGACTGGTTTCAATGTGGCTGTATCTGGGGCCAAGATAGCGTAAGCCCCAACATTTTTACATCATAACTGTGCAACACTGCCAGCCTTTTATGCTCTCATAAAAAATAAAAAAAAAGATAACTCGGTTTATTTAATCACTCGCAGAGAAGTCCCGGAGCAGGCTCAACGTCTGATTGATGCCATAAAAAATGATAAAGTGAGTTTAAAAGTGGCTGGAACATATTTTATGATTTAATGAGTTTACATTATAATATTTAATAGTAATTACTGCTCTGTTTGTCTGTTTCTCTCATTTTCCCATGATCTATTGGATGTAAACAGACAGTAGACTTTCAGAATGACTGGAAGCTTGTGACCCTCTTTATTGGTGGCAATGACTTGTGTCAGTACTGCAACGACCGGGTGAGTCACTTCACAAAAAGAAAGATCCAATAAGGTGCGCGAAATCTTTTAGTGGTTGAACGTCCCTGGGTGTTGTGTGGAGCTGTCTCATGATATCACTGGATCTGAGCACTGGAGCAGAATAATGACGTTTTGTGAGCAGCCCTCTCCTCCCAGTTTTGTGTCAGACTGAGATGAGAGGTTTTTTGTCTCCTGTGTCTGAGTGCAGCAAGGCACAGAGAGAGGCCTTGTTCTCTAAAAGCATAAACAACACACAAGCCAACCCTCCCTCCATCCTATTTGATTTTTTTTTAATTGTACATCTTGTTTTGCTTTTCTCGCTCCATTAGTCTCCACACGCCTTGTGATTGAGTGATTTTATTCTTTGTTTCACTGTTTGTCCTTCAAAGCAGAATCTGAAAAAGCATCAAATGAAGATGAGCTCTGAGCCTGTGCTGGTGACAGCTTGTGTATTTGCATGGCTCCTGAAGTGATATGATTCATTTCAGACTTGACCTCTTCATTATGCAGCTTTTCTCTGGTCGCAGCAGAGATGCTAATAAGGCTCAGGTGAACTGTGTGTTTATCAGTAACCATAATCTCTCCAGGCCTCCCTTTCACCTCAGAACTACAGCTACCACATGAGGACAAGCTTGGATATGTTTTATAAGGAGGTGAGACAATGTTGCATTATAAATAATTTTAAATGCTTTGAAGCGTTTTGAAGGTTTATGTTATGTTCTTTAAATTATCATTGATCCATGTAAGATTTAAATGTTACTTTCTCATCGGAGGTCCCGAGAACGATCATCAACGTCTTGGAAATCCTGGAAATTGAAGGCCTTCGCAGGATTAAAAGGGACAGTCTCGGGTGCAGTTTGTTACAAAAGTAGGCAACGTTCGTATGTCCGATCATCCCTTAATAACCAAAACCTCTGAGACAGAGGCAGAATGTGGTTTTTTTAGTATTTAAAATTTAACATTGAGCCAGTCCTTCACCCAGATTGTTTTAAACAAACCACAGACAAGGTACAGGCAACAGCCATAAAATACATATACAATGAAAAATATATAAAAGTAGTGATATTGAACAAAATAAATCAAGCTACGTTATGAAAGGAGGTAAAATACTGCATTGATGTGTCCATTGAACTTAACAGAGAGATGAAAGCGGACAGCTTCAAGGTGTTCCAGGTTAAAGGAGTAAAGTAAGAAAAGGCCTTTTTGCCAAATTCAGTCCGTACTGAGGGGACGCTGCAGATAATGATGTCTTGAGGGTGCACGCTGTAACTGCACTGATGACGTGACATGTAGGAGGAGATGCATGAAGGCGGCAGACCAATAAGTGATTTAAAGATGAAAATGTACCAGTGAGAGAGTCTGCGTGAAGTTAATGATGCCCAATTTACCAGTGAATACTGGGTGAGGTGATGGGTACAGTAGTTACAGCCAGTTATGAATCTTAGCGCATCGTGATACACACCATCCAACATCTGCAGGTTCTTGTAGGAGCATTCATGTAAAAAATGTCACCATAATCAATTGCTGGTAAGAAAGTAGCAGCTACAATGTGTTTTCTGGCGTTCAGAGTTAACATGATCTATTTCTGACACAGAAACCCAATTTTATTTTCAATTTCTTTACCAAGTTTTTGACATGAGGCTTAAAAGAGAGATGTGCATTGACCAAGATTCCCAAGTAATTGTAAGAATCCACAAACTCAACAGGAGCACCATTCAGAGCTAAGATAGGAGGAAGGACTGCTGGTACCGACTTCCTGTTTGAAAACAACATCCCTTTGGTTTTATCAGCATTTAGCACCAGTTTGAGACGGAGCAATGGATGGAATGGATGATGTTGAGTGCAGACTGTAGAAGCTCGAAAACCTCAGCTACTGTTTTAGCTCGACAATAAACAACTGTATTGTCAGCACAGAAATGCAAGGATGCATCAGGAATGATTTGACCTACATTACTTATATAGATTGTAAAGAGAGTGGGTCCTAAGACTGAGCCTTGTGGTACACCATTATTGACAGTTAAATAACTAGGGGGGAAAAAACACTGTGTTGAACACATTGCTTTTGGCCTGAGAGATACTATAGAAAACCAAATGATAGTGTGGTCTGAGAAACTAATATCTGAGAGCTTATGGCAGAAGATGTCATGATGCTCTTGCTGTTTAAAAAATAACCTGAAAACACATTTTCAAAATCACTGAATGTTTCCTTTGCCAAAGCCTCAGTTCCCCTCAAGGTTTACACACACATCAGCTGTTTTAATCTAGCTGAAAACAGTTACTTGTGTTACATTAGACCACCTCGTAACAATTTTTATAATTCTCTCTTAACACACAGACAAGTTTGCCCCTGCTTTTTGATGCCTGGAGAGGATTCACCAGAACTGGCTGAAATGAAACGGATCAATCGGGATTTCCAAGTGAGTAGACAAGACAAGTTAAATCATAATGAATACTTTTGGATAAATCTTAGAGAAGGGTCATTTATAACATCTGGACTCATCTGTCAGATTGAGACTGAAAACCTGGTGTATGGAGATCGGTACAACGGCAGAGAGGACTTTGCCGTCGTAATCCAGCCTTTTTTCAAAAACACCATCGTTCCATTAAACACTGTAAGCCTGCAACGCTCACTCTTCACTGATGTGCATCAAATGTACAAACGTTTAGCTTTGGGACAGAAACCGTCCCCTTCAGTGCACATAATGCACACAGTCGTGTGTTTGCTCCCTCCAGGAAGGCCGGCCTGACACCACGTACTTCTCTCAGGACTGTTTCCACTTCAGTGAGCGAGGACATGCTGACATGGCTGCTGCTTTGTGGAATAACATGGTGAGGCTGAAGCAAACGGTAAACGGCTAGCTGTTCGTGAACACAGCTCAGACATGTTTCTGTTGCTTCTAGTTGGAGCCGGTGGGTAAAAAACAGACATACAACAGTTTCACAAATGCCAGAAATATCCTCAAGTGCCCCAGTGAGGTAAGACAGCTGCTACTGAAGACCTCCTTTTGCACACTCAGTCTACTTCAAATCCATTTCTGTGTTACAGGAACATCCGTACATCTTTACAAAGGCCAACAGTTTTCCCATTTCGACCACAACCACAGCGCCCACAGCGCCCACAGCACACACCACCTCAGCCCAGCCTCTCACCACCGACTGTTCGGGCAGCGTCCCAGTGTGGCTCGCTGCGGTGCTGGCTGTTATCGGGCTTCTGATTGGCTGGGCTGTCACCTGGCTCCTCTTCTTCTGCAGAGACAAGAGGCGAAAGAGTATAATGACGTCTACAGTGGACACGAAGGACACAATGTTTTAACAATGTGTGATTATTGCACTGAAATATTTGAGGGGCTACACAAAGAGCATCTGCTTCAGGATCACTGAACCACGAAAAAGCATCACAACGTAAAAATAACGTTTTGGTTTTTTTTTTATCAGTAATCAAGGCAGCTTTGCACAAACAAACTTTTTTTTATTTGGGGGGGGGGGGGGGGTGTATTTGCACAACCTACTAAAACATATCAAGGTGCTGAAGCTGGTCTAACAGCTTAATGATCCAGTTCAGTCCATCAGTATAAGATTACAACTAATGATTAAAGCTACCGTATTTTTCGACCTATAAGTCACTTCTTTTTTTTTTTGTTGCATAATTCACATGCCCTGTGACTAACACGCCTAAGCGACGTATTTTTGGATTTTTTTCCCCATATTTATAAACTTTTTATTTATTTATAATTATTATTAGAATAATTTATAATCCAATTTTTGGCTGAGATATGACAGTTTTTATTCATTCTGACTGAAAATATTGAACACTACCATTTTCAGCCATTAGATGGCACTCAAGTAGTGTGGCATGCAGTTGTATCATGGAATAGGTAAAAGTGGCTATTAATGACACAATTGGCTTGCCATACATTGCCCCCTACGTCCAGCTCTCCTGGAGCAACCGTCAAATCAGCTTCATTTCACTGCACCGCCCGGCTAAATGCAGCTAATTTGACCACTGAAGTGCATTTATTAAGTAAAAGTTCAACTGAGACACACCTTTACTATAATGTCGAGCAAACAAATAATTGTTTTAGATGCTTATCTTGTTAAATTTTGAAGAAATGTGCAGCGTTCCTACTTCCTGATTTCCTCCCTCAGAGCGCGCTCCCAGAGCACCAAGGAAGCAAATACTTTTGAAATGCAGCTGATTTGACCTATAAAGTCCATTTATTAAGGACAAGTTAGACTGAGACACACATTTACTGTAATTTCGAGCAAACAAATAATAGTTTTTAGCTGCTTATCTTGTAAAATTTTTGAAGAAATGCACGGCGACTCGTCCCTCTGCGCGTTCATGTTTCCGCGTACCGGCTTTTGAAAATACATCAGCTTTGACTGCCAAAGTGCATTTATTAAGGAAAAGTTAAACAGAGATACACCTTTACTATAATTTTGAGCAAATAATTGTTTTTAAGTGTTAATCTTGTTAAATTCTAGTTAAAGTCTTCCCGTGCACGCCCCCGCGGCCGCCATTTGGCGCCAATCGATTTTTGGCACAACACCGGCCCACATTTCTGGGTTGACGCGTAATAGATGTGACTTATACGGTGAAGTGACGGATTCATGGATTTTTCCATTTAATTATACATTTTTGGACTGATGCGACTTATACGGTGATGCGACTTATACGGTGATGCGATGTGTACGGTGGAAAATACGGTACTCATTGCAAATGATCAAATTGAACGTTTAAAAGTTATTGAGTGTTTACTTCAGTTGTATATATGCAATTCTAAATGCAGGTACACACTCAATGTAAACATGATTCTTTTATTATCTGCATACTTTACATATCTGAGCAAAAATATGTATCGTGCATCAAACTTATCGAACTTTCCTGCAAATCACCACTGTTGACCTATTTTCAGCCTTTTCAGCTGTTTCTGCAGATAAAATAACACATGTGGTAGTTGGAAGCTAAAATTTGCTTTATGTGATGACACAAAAATCATAAATATGAGAAAAATATAGTGCACATTTTTATTACTTTGTGATTTTTTTTTACATTGCAATGAGTACCTTTAACTTAATGCTGCCTTGTTTGAAGCAAGTGTTTGACCAGACATTTTTTTAGAAAAATGATAACGTGAAGGAAGATGCACATGACATGCTGTACTGTTGAAAATATGCATTTAGAACTTTCATATTATTTTATCCAGTTGGTTTTGTTTGTTTTTGTTAAATAATATTATTGTGTTCCATTTCTCACCTATTTTTAATAAATAATTTGTGATAATAAAGCTAGAAAATCTGTGAGTGCTCATTTCAGACCAAAAGTGTTTGTCCACACACCATATTATAACATGGTATGATGATGATCATAAAACAAAGTACTGATACTTATATTTGTAAGGTTTATCCATCCGTTATTTGTTTGTAGCTCTTCCGGGGGAATTCCGAGGCGTTCTCAGACCAGGTTAGTAACTTTATAGTTTCTCCAGCCTGTCTTGGGTCTCCTCCTAGGTGGACATGCCCGGTACACCTCCCTACAGAGACGTCAAGTTGGCATCCTTACCAGATGCTGCAGATCCTTACGAGTACCACCCCCAAACACCCCACACTCAGCTTCCTCCACAGAAGATGTGCTGGTAGGATTGAGAAGGTCTTAAAAGTATTCCTTCCATTACTGCTTGAGATCAGCAGCACCCTACCGTGACTATGTTTGGAAAAGTGCTGCTTCCACTGCCTCAGCTGACATGACTACAACGTCATGGATCTGGTTGCTGGTGCCATGTGCACTTTATGTTGGTCTGTATGGACGAACCGTGACTAGCACAGAAGTCCAACAACAGAACACCACACGGGTTCAGATCAGAGAGGCTGTTCCTCCCAGTCATGTCCCTCTGGCCGCCACACCCATGTGCATTGAAGTCCCCCAGCAGAATAATGTAATCCACAGCTGGAGCACCTACAAAAGATTACAAGATGGCTGGATACTTAGAACTGTTGTTCAGCGCATAGGCACAGACAACACCCTTTTCTTTTCAAACGGTTGAGATGAGCTGGACTCAGGAGCTCAGTCCTCACCTCCTTCTACAGGTGTGCAGTGGAGAGCATCCTGTGCTCCAGCACCAACGTGTGGCATGGAGGCTGCACAGCTGCAGAAAGAAAAGCTTTGCAGAGAGTGGTGAAGGCTGCACAGATGTTGGAGTCAGTCTCCCCCCCATCACAGACATCTACACCTCCAGATGCAGGAAGAGGGCCACCTGCATCATGAAGGACCCCACTCACCCAGCACACACATACTTTGCCCTGCTCCCCTCAGGAAGGAGGTTGAGGAGCATCAAGTGTAGAACAACTAGACTGAGGAACAGCTTCTACCCTCAAGTTAAATCCCTAACCAGGATAATCACTGTAATGACACTTTAATTGGACATTTGACACTTTATCTGTGCTGCTGATTTTTTACCCATAAGCTGCTGTGTTCATACCCATCTGCTCACAGCTGACTCATGTTCAGGCTGCTGTTTAATATACCTTATTATATTATTATTGTTAGCGTACCTAGATCCTTATATACTGTTTATTTTTTATTTATACTTTATACATATATATTGCTTTTTGTGTGTAAATGGAACCTTGAGTACACAGTTTTGTTCCCCCTCATGTGCCACATGTGATGACAATAAAGTCTGCTTGAACCTTGAATAGAGACTTTAAAGAAATACATTATCTGTGTCTTCTGTAAAAATTCTCAAGTGAAATTTTGTCTAACATTTATGATTGAGCCTTGTTAATATCAGTCAGCTCGTTCTCTAATCCGCACATACTGCATATTACCTCTGGGCGCAGTGAATATGGGTTAAAAGAAACCACATTGCGCGTCTTGCAGGGTCTCTGTGTTTCCGGTTTAGTCGTTTCTCGCCGCCAGCGCCCCCTGGTGTCCACAGAGGGAGCGTGCGCAACATCAGAGTGAAGATGGCGGAGGGTGAATTAAACGTGGATAGCCTCATTTCTCGGCTCCTGGAAGGTAAGCAGTTACATTTTAGTTTGCGCTCTTAAACAGAGGCGGTTGTCTGGACTCTTTGACTCGGCTGTAAATGATCTAGGACGCGTTGCCTTCCAGAACGTTGTTAGCTGGAAGCTAACGTGCTGTAGCTAACCGTGCTAGCCGCTAGCCGTGTTTATAAACAGCTACATGCATGCGCAGTTCTCGGGTTGACTCATAAATCAACCATTGCATCTATTTTAGTTTCTTAATGAACTTCAAGGTTGATTTGTTTGTGAAACGACTGGTTTTCAGTGGGAGGGGCAGGGACGTTTCCTACGTGCGTCGGACTGATTTGTTGTAACACTTAAAAATGCAGGAATATTATTATATCTTTGAAAGCTGCTCAATTATATAAATTTTATTGGGCTTAGATTGGTGACTGATCTGAATAATGTTTTAAAAAAATAAGTGTTTCGATTGATAAACCAGCAGCTGCAAATGTAAAGCTACAATTGAATTTGATTAATCATTATATCCAGATCAAAGATGAAATCAGTGTTTGTGTCTTGTTAGCAGGTTGCTGTGGTTCAGAGCACTCATGCTCTAAAATCCCCTTTAGTTGTCTGTTTGCATTGGTCCAACATAATGAAAGTCGTTTCAAAGCAGCAAAACAAAAAAGATTAGACAGTTTTATTATCTCTTTGTAAAGACATGTATACATATACAAACCAAATCTGTGTGTGGCTGCAGTTTTTAATGATCTCTCGTGAACAAACTACTTAAAAAGCGACCAACATCCAGGATGGATCGCGTTCCAGCAGCTCCTCAGAAAGCAGATTTGTGGGTTCCCTTGTGATCAACTCTTGAGTCACAGCAGTAACAGACAACCTGTCCTTGGCTTACTTTCCTTCTGTATCTGTGACACGGATACCGAAGGACCATCCAACAGGATGGGCAAGGGACCATATTCTGGGCTGTCTCAGACATAAAATCTCATTTGTTGATTATTTTTTAAACGTCATTAGACATGTTTCACTCATTTAGTGTAGTTTTGCACATTTGATCAATAACTTCTTGCTGGAAAAGTATCTTTTCCATTTGCTTTAAAGCCAAAATTGTATCCAACTGTTCAAATTTATTGGAAATGAGGCAAATTAATCCCAGGATTCTTATTTCTAGCTGTATTTGCTTATATATTTTTTGGCAGTATATTATCAGAGACTGCATTATGTGTTCTTGGTTGTATGGCATTCTTCTAAAGTAGTCATGATGAAGACTGTAGGTTTGATATTAAATCTTTTGGTAAACCCACGTGTCAGTCACAGAACTTAATGCAATTAAAACTTAATGAGCTGAGTGTTGCTTCACTCTTGCACAAACAATGTTGTAGTTTGTGGTTGTCACAAATCCTTGTCATTGCCCAGAACCTAAGCTCATTTAAAAGTGCCAGCCGGTAGCGTGTCAGAGTGCAACCAATAAAAAGTTCAGTGTTGGAGCTAAGCAGCTAAGATATCCCAGCTTAACTCACCCTGAACCAGTGAGGTCTGGTAAAGAGCTCAACTTCTGCAGGGTCACGCTTCATGCTCTGCACGGCGTTTAGGCTTAAATAGGATGAAGAATAAGAACAAACAATATGAACTGGGCATGTTGGAGCAACACATGTTTGGAGCTGTCAGGTTCATCGCCTGTACAGATTAAAATGTTGCTGTTTCTCTTCTTGTCACTATCTTATTTGCAGGATTAATTACATATAAACAGTGTTCAAATCAGCTGTGGAAACATGTGGGTGTACCGTTACAGATGCACAACAAAGAGTTCAGCCTTTCTGAGTTTGCAGCAACTTATCCATTTTTAACTTCTTGTTTGGGCGTCCTGGACATTTTCCTCCTTCACTAAAAACAAAAAGGGGTTTAAATAGATTTCCTCTCTGACTAAAGATGTACTGGTATTTGCTCCACAAGGCTCAACAGCAACCCTTTACTGGACTTTTCAGTGGGCGTCCTGCAGTAAGGCATTACAAAAATGGTCACTTATTATATAATTCCTCCTTTGTATGCTCATGAGCTTGTTTTCAGGCCTAAACAGAGTTTTCACTCAGTGGGAATTTAACTGACGTGACATTAGGATTAAATTCAAAGAGCTAAATTAATGCACTTTGGATTCAATTTAACTTTTTTTTTTGCATTACATCTTTAATTAACATCTATTTAATTAATATCTAACTACAGACACATGACCATTTTTAAATAAGCAAATGCCTTTTAAAAAAAACCAACTATTTTCTACCCTGCAGACAAAATGTTAAAGAAGTTCTTTTAAGGAATAATCTCACATCTCCTTGTATTTCGGTTGCTGACTTTAGCCAAGGTTTGCGTTTCTCGTCTCTTTTCATAGTTGTAAGATGAATCTGAGCTGTGGCAGAATTTCATAAATGTACTTTAAGCCAACATTGCAACTATAAACCCACACAGCAAACTCCTCCTACAGCTAAAGCAGTGGAGTTTTGAAATATGACTGAGACTACGCAGTTATGAGATGCAGAATGATTGCACCCACAGTTTATCTGCTTGGAAGATGGTTTTCTGGTTCTGTTAGAACTTTCCCTTAAGTGAAAACAAACCAGTGGCTTCATTGTGATTAAGTGAGGGGTGCAAGGGGCTGTGCTGCTTGAAATTAGTCATTGACGATCTTTTAATCTCTCTTTCTCACTTTAGTGCGAGGATGTCGTCCAGGGAAGATAGTTCAGATGACAGAGGCTGAGGTCCGGGGCCTCTGCATCAAATCCAGGGAGATCTTCCTCAGCCAGCCCATCCTGCTGGAGCTGGAGGCACCCCTCAAGATTTGTGGTCAGTGTTATTCTTTTATGTCCGTGTTTCTACCACAACTGTAGGATGGGTTCGTTCTCTGTCACCACAATGGATTTCCTTCATTTTAAAAGTGGCCAGAGCGTGATTTCTGTCATCCTGTGCAAATGATGAGCGGGGAAAAAGTGTTTTGTTGTGGCCCTGGTAAAACCATCCAATCTAATGATGATGCAGGGATTAAACTGATGCTGCTTTCAACCAATAAAGAAAACCAAAGTCACAGTTTGACCCAGTCAGAGCAGGGCGGGTCGTGTTGTCTGGTTCATGGTGAGCCTGGGTGTGAGCAGCAGAGAGAAACTCCAAGGAGGACATCCTACTACCCTAACAGAACCACACACCCTTTCATGAAGGTGATGACATGGAATAAATTAGTAAACGTCTGCGTATTAAACGTATGTGTTCACACATGACCAGTTCACTGCAGCCGAGGGAGATACCAGAACAGATTCACCATCACCCCGCACCGCACCCTGACCTCCCTGAAACTGTTGAACCTTAAAGCTAACTTATTATTAAATGTTAAAGTGTTTGGCATGCCGTCATCATATAGACATTTGCAGCCTACACGCTAGGAATGTGCGATATGGCATAAAATTCATATCACGATATATATTGTAAAGAGTGGCGATAACGATATATATCGCAATATGTTTTTGGTATAAAACTTGCAACAGGAATGAAAAAAAAGTATAGGGTGTCCTTTTGCCATCATCTATTTTGAATTAAGAAAATTCCAGGTCCAGAGAGTTTTTAAATAATAAATAAATCTTCTTTCTTGTAGTGCAAAACAGTGCAAAAGATATCAAATGTAGTTTTAGCCATCTGTTTTAAACTAAAGAATATGTTGTTAACTCTTAACAGTTATTCTCACTTAATAAATGAACAGCAACAGAGCAGCATTTTACACTGAAACACTTCACCCTCCAAACCTCTAGTGGGCGACTCCTGCTTTAATGGAGAGCTGACACAGAATGAGTCTGTGGCTTTGACCAGAGGGTCCCGCAGTAAAATCACACACCACAGCGTTCTTATCACACATCAGAGAGCAGGTTTCTCTAAAGCTGAAACGCTTATTTCAACTTTCGACGGAAAAAAAACAAAAAACTTTTGTCTCCGAAACTGTGGTCTGTTTGTCAGGTAGTCTATGATCCAGGTGATTGTTGAGGCCTCCACCTGAGTCTTCTGAAGTTTCTGACAAAGCAAATCAGGCTGGATTGTGTTAAATGCACTGGAAAAAAAAAAAAAGACTTTTGATGGAACACAGCATTTTGCGCATCTGTCCGAATACGGCAGCATTATGGCAAGCCGGCTGTAGTTAGCTTGTAGCTTCGCTACTTAGCTCTCGAAGAAAAGACTTTAACACCACTTGCACAGTTTTCAACAAAAAAAAAGTAACGATTAAATCTGACAGCTCTGATTTTACATCAGACACAGCATTACTGCGGTTAGCCGGTAGAAGACAGATCTCTATCGTAGGCTAAACGTCTGTCGTTTCTACCGTGTACCGTTTTTATCGTGCATTCCTACTATCAATGGATTTTTTTCTTCCCTGATGGCACGGACATATTCCAAGATGACAATGCCGGGATTCATCGGGCTCGAACTGTGAAAGAGTGGTTCTGAGAGCATGAATCATAATTTCCACACATGGACTGGCCACCACAGAGTCCAGATCTTAACCCCATTGAGAATCCTTGGGATGTGTTGGAGAAGGCTTTGCACAGTGGTCACAATCTTCCATCATCAATGCAAGATCTTGGTGAAAAATTAATGCAACACTGGATGGAAATGGATCCTGTGACATTGCAGAAGATTATGGAAACAATGACACAGTGAATGCATGATGTAATCAAAGTTAAAGGTGGTCCAATGAAATATTAGTGTGGGACCTTTTTTTTGGTGGTGACTTTTTTTTTTTGGCCAGGCAGTGTATAAACTAAGATATACACTAAACTAATGTCCAGTGGTACATTTAAAGATCTAAGATATATGCCAGTCACTAATAATGCAACACAATACATCGAACAGCAGCAGCACGATTCTCATAGGTTCTGTTCGAATATAATTTACACGCTTAATGCGAGCAGAGTCAGGCTCAGAGCTGACCCCAAAACTAACATAAACTGGAATTTATTTGAAGCATGCAACAAAAATACAAAAACAAGGCGCCATCAGTGAAAAAGAAATAAATCTCCAGCAGCATGGTCCTATTGGCAGAGTGGTCCTGATGACAGTGAGGTTATCTTAGCAACATGGTCCCCCCCCCAGACTGTCCTCTAGAACCAGGTCCGGCAGACAGAGAACATCCAAGGTTTCCCCGCAGAACTGAATGAGTCCGTGAGTTGGATCCATGCAGGCAGATGGAGGCTCATGGAGACAGCCGCCATGACAGGCCTGAGCCTGAGGCTGGAAGGACTATCGGGGTGAAGGCCACTGGCCGATAGTCATTCAGACCAGTCACTGTAAAGCTTTTTGGGACTGGGATGATGGTGGCAGTCTTCAGGCAGGTGGGAACTGTCTCCAGGGTAAGTGAGGGTAACTTTCACCTATAGAGACCATTTGGTGCATCATAAAGAGGAAGGTGCGACAAAGAAGGCCCAAGACGATTGAACAGTTAGAGGCCTGTATTAGACATGAATGGGAGAGCATTCCTATTTCTAAACTGGAGAAACTGGTCTCCTCTGTCCCCAGACGTCTGTTGAGTGTTGTAAGAAGAAGGGGTGATGCCACACAGTGGTAAAAATGGACTTGTCCCAACTTTTTTGGGATTTGTTGACGCCATGAAATTTGGAAACAACAGATTTTCCCCTTAAAATGATACATTCTCTCAGTTTAAACTTTTGATCTGTGATTTGTGTTCTATTCTGAATAAAACATTAGATGTTGGCACCTCCACATCATTGCATTCAGTTTTTATTCACAATTTGTTTAGTGTCCCAACTTTTTTGGAATCCGGTTTGCATATTATTTTTTATTTTTTTTATTTCATAAGATGTGCCATTTTTGTACAACAACCCAGATGCTTGCAGTGCAGCACATTATGACATCACGCACGCCATTGATTTTAGATTTTTGAAAATTTACAAATTTGCACTGTTCAAGTGTTGTCATTGTGTTAGAGTAAATATCATGAATAAATTTGACATTAAATATAATCCAAGTTGAAGTGTTACATCATTTTCACTCTCCTTTTTGGCATCTGCATTTGGTAGCAGGACAAACTGATAAAGACCATGCAGGATATTGTAGTATTTTTTAGTGTGTGTGTATGTGTGTGTGTGTGTGTGTGGGGGGGGGGGGGGGGATATAGGTGCAGAAAATATTTGAGTCAAAATATTTTTTTCTGCTTTAATCCATATAATTACATCATATGTTTACAGACAGTGTTTTCTTAGCTTTTACTGTTTAAAAATGTCTTTGACCTCATTTAAAAACAGAAGATTTAGCTCTAAGTTGTAAACATTAAATAATGTAAAGCTATTTAGTTATTACCTCTTCTGTGATGGTCCCTAATATTTATTTAACTATTGTTTTTTTCATTGCAAATCCAGTAGAAAACAACTCTATGCATTCAACATTTCCTTCGCATATATAACTAACTAATAAGAAATGTGCTGGGTCATATAGGGCTGGGTACCTTTCTAAAAAAATTGGTGTCGGTTCCTGGACGGTTCTTTTTTCGGTACCAATTTTGTAATTAATATTAATTCTAACAAGAATAAAATTACGTTACACATTACAGTACAACTCGTGAGTTTTATTTTTTTAACTTAGGTATTTCTATTCCAAGCAGTTTTCTTACATTAAAATAAACAAATAATTTCCAGTTCAAAAGAACAGTTGCAAACAACAAGTGACACTTCAGTGTCTAATGCTCACTGCTTCACACTGAGGACCTTTTCACTTCACAGTTTTTCTTCAGAAACATCAACATTTCTGCTTTCTCTGGACACAAACAAGCCCGCTCCTGGCTGGTGGTGTCTCCAGCAGTAGAAAGTGTTCACTCTGAGGCTGTAGATGATGATTGTTGCACACACAGATACCTGGTTGTCAGTTTGACATATTGTCCCTCACATTCCACCAGCAGGTCACTGGATTCACTGAGGTTAGGGCTGATGCAGACTTCTGCACCTCTGTGTCTCTTCCTGAATCTTCTCTGTGGTTCTCTGGGGTTTAGGGCTCTGATCATCTCCCTAATTGACATGAGAACAAAACATCAACAATAACATGGTTGTGTTATTATTGCTAAAAAAACATTATCTAGGCTGAGAGATAAAAGTTTAACTGGTCAACAAAATCCTTTACACTTTACTTACCTCCACCATGCAGCCTTCACTGTAGAAAAGACAGCAAACTTTTAACAGCAAAGTCTGTGACTGTCCTGTGGCCCCCACCTCGCTTTTCTTTTGTCTCTGTCCTCACATCAGGGTCAGAACCTCCTGTGAGGAGAACATGAACATAAACAGTGAACATTAGGTGAACTGTTTAAGTAGCTGACTGGATGGATGAGCACATTTTTACAAGAGCTCCATCTGTTACTGTCAATCTTTAGTTAGCTTCTGAGTTTAGCTAGCTACGTAGATCAAATAATTTTACACACTAATATCTTAAAGTTAGCGTTATTTCACTGCAATGTACGTGTTAAGCTGCAGTAATGTTAACAAACTTAAACTCACCAGCTGAAACACAGACACAGAGCCGTCCTCAGGAGTTCTTTGATGAAGACGAGTCGGGCCGTGGAATGTTGATTCAGTCCGTTTAACACACACAGACTGACTAACGCTGGGGAGGCTGCTGTCCGTCTGTCTTCTTGCAGAGAAACACGGAGCAACTTTCTGCTCGTGTGTTGTCAGAGCCGTTCGACAACACGCGCTGCACATGTGAACCCGTCTGTGGGCGTCACCAGCACCATAAACATACATTATACATAGATTAGGTGCGGCAGCTCTATACAGCTCTGGGTGTAAACACGTAGTCTGTTT